TCCCATGTGGCCGACCACAGTTCAAGTCCTGGACCTGGTGGCTTGCTTTCTCTCTTTCCTTTTCTCTCTCTCTCTCTCTAGTCAAACTAAAATAAATAAATAAATAAATAAATAAATAAAACCAAATAAAATTAAATAATTTTAATAAAACAATAAACAATGATTATATCAGAAACTTGTCTGTTTTAGTCCTTTAAGGCTGCTATAACAAAAAAACGACTGAGGCCTTGACATCCTGTCCTAGATTTCCCAGTCAGGCTCCAGAACCCTGATACGGACAATTCTGTCACATGCGTGCACTTCTCGCTCTGCTTGGGTTCTAGGACTGCATCCAAGGTGACTCGCGTGCCTCATGGTGACCCTCCTCTCCTAGTTTGTGCTCAGAGCCACTTTTTCCCACATGCCACACGGAAACACCTTGTTAAGCCCACCAAAGGACTGGCGCTGAGTAGTTCAGGAAGGGAAGAGAACAGAAACAAACTAGAAGAGGAAGACAAAGACTTAAATCTCTTTTAATCTGTAATAATTTTCACTTTGCCTGCCTCTTCATTTTCATGACATTCATTCATTTATTTTCTTTGAGATAGCCCACATTCTGGGTTTACCTTATTGAATTTTCTTTTGAAGTTTTTTACTATTTTTTTAAGAGAGATTTTGCTATAGGGCACGTGCACTGGCTGGAGAGACAGAGAGTAACAGAGAGACAGAAAGCAAAAAATCACCCTCCAGAGGAGATGGCCACGCCACAGTCCCTTCTCTTCCATTGTCCTCTGGGGATTTGGGGCATGTACGAGCATGTGCCCTGCATGAGTTTTTTTGTTTTTATTCCTTTTTTTTTTTGGGGGGGGGAGGTTTTTGCTATAGGGTGTGTGCGCTGGCCAGAAAGACAAAGAGAGACAGAGAGACAGAAAGTGAGAAATCATCCCCCAGGGGGATGGCCATGCCACAATCCCTTCTCCTCCATTCTCCTCTTTGAATCTTGGGCATGCACGCACATGCTCCCAGCGTGAATTTAAACCTCCGGGTCCAGGACTCAAACCACGGTCAACTACATGGGAGTCCAACGACATGGCCATTACGCCAACTGCTGGCCCCCCGCATGAGTTTTTTTGTTTGTTTGTTTGGTTGGGTTTTTGTTTGTTTTTCTAAGAGATATGTTTGATAAAGTTATGTGCAATCACCAGAGGGAGAGAGAGAGAGACAGACAGAAAGTGAGAAATCATCCCCCAGGGGGTATAGGCACACCACAATCCCTTCTTCACTTTCCTCTTGGGATCTTGGGCATGTACACACACTCACCCAGCTTGAGTTTTAAGTCACCAGGTACGAGACTCAAACCGCAGTCTACTATGTGGGAGTTCAGTGACATAACCATTACACTACCTGCTGGCCCCTCGAATTTCAACATTTCTTTTTCCCCTAATTCTTACAAACTGGTAGGTAGATTTAAAGATTTGATTAGATTCAAGTTCAGTTTTGTTTTTGTTTTTTTTTAAAATTCAAGTTCAGTTTTGTTTTTGTTTTTTTTTTTTACAAAATGTTTGTAAAAATAAGAATGTCCAGTACTTATTGTATCATGTCTTCAAGCACATCACAGTTCTCCTTTTCATGAAATTAAGATTGATAAGTGTGGGGCCAGCAAGTGGTATGGTGGTAGAGGCACTGGAATTCCCACATGGCCGACTACAGTTTGAGTCCTGGCCCTGGCAGCTTCCTCTCTCTCTCTCTCTCTCTCTCTCTCTCTCTCTCTCTGTCTTTCTCTGGCAAGTTCATGTAAAATAATAATAATAATTCTTTTTTTAAAAAGATGGATACATGGGTTCAGGTGTTGTCAGTCTGAATTCATTTACATCAGGGTCCCCATCAGCCCCCATGTTTTCATTTTTGCTGTAAGGGAGGTTTATTGACAGAAGAGAGTCGGGGTAGAAGAGATTCACTCACCTCCACCAGGGAGAATAGCCACACTCCATCCTCTTCTCAGGATTCAGGGCACGCATTCACACACGTCCAGCATAATTTTCAAGCTGCCACGGACTTGAACTGTGGTCAGCTATGTGGGAGTCCAGTGCCTTAACCACCATGCCATCTGCTGGCCCAGTCTAATAGTTTAGTATTGTTTTAGTCCACTTTTCTGTTGCTAACAAATAAATACCATACTGGGTAATTTACAAAGGCTAGAGATTCTGCACACGGTTTTGGAGATTTCATGATCAAGAGGCTACATCTGGTGAGGTGGCTCAGGGCAACACAGAGAGAAAGCGAGCAGAGCACGTGTCTGTGTCCGTGTGTCTCTCTCTCCATCTCCTTACAGCAATAATTAAATTAGCTAACAGCGTCTTCCCTTCTTTCCCTCTCCCGAGCATCATTTTTGAGATACGATGACTCTCAGTAAATACCTAATAGTCTATTTTCCATATACTTTTTCGCTTATCTTCCTATTTTTCATTTTATTTACATTCCCATTATGGAAGCATATAATAATTACATTCTTCTACCATCCTTATCCCCACCATTTCCTCTTAGTTCTCCTGTTAAACACATTTAATGATCACCACGAGTCTTCACACCAAAGCTTTTCCTGTCTTCTCTTAAGCCTGGAGGAGGACTCACGGGAACAGTAGTTTCCGAGTTCTTGCATGTTTCTAACTGTATTTTTGTGGCCTTTTTGGGTGGTGGTCAGTGTAGCTGGTTAGAAAATCCTGTTAGTTTCTTTTCCTGACTAGTATAGTCCATTCTAGTCTGCTCTAGGACAGGTCCATTCTACCGCTAACACAGACTAAGTCTGAGTACTTTAGAACACAGGTTTTTCTAGCTCACACATTTGGAGCCTGAGCAGTCCAAGAGCATGTACTAGCATGTGGTGAGGGTCCTCTGGCTGTGTCACTACATGGCAGAGGGCACACATGCATGCAGAACATGCCTCTGTCTCATTCCCTCTCCTTCTAAATCCACTGGGACCCAATCATGGGGTCTCCGCCCTGATGACCTTAATCCTAATCACTTCCCTAAAGCCATACCTCTGAACACCATAATCAGATTAAGTCTCTACCCTCTAAACACCGTAACAATGGCTCACCAATTTTTTCTTTTAAGGTTTTTGCCATAGGCCTAAACCCCATTGGGTAAAAAGAGCATACTATAAAGTAGAACCCAACTGGGCCCATACCGCTCACTGCAGCCATCAAATATCCATTTTTTTTTTTAAATGGTATGAATAGTTTTACCGTTTTTTTTGTTTGTTTGTTTTTTTGTTTTCGTTTTTTTTTTTTCCTAACATTCATTCCCTGAGCATCATCACAGCGTACTAAATGTAATTTCCCATCTAGAATAGACTGCACAGTGACCCAATCAAGCATGTTATCAATAATATTCCACTTCTACTTTCTTGCTT